TTATCAACTGTGACTAAAATGTTCACCACTTTCTCAGAGGGTAAAAGGAATTATCTAGCAGCATGCATCAAGAAATAGATAGTCAGAATCATTTAAAAAACTGTATGTATTTGTGTGTGCGTGCGTGTGCGTGCGTGTGCGTGCGCGTGTTTCAGACGCTACATCAGCAAGTGTAAGCAGAAGCAGCCGGTGGTGCCGGAGTCTCTGTCGGACTACATCACTGCGGCGTATGTGGAGATGCGAAAGGAGGCGCGGGTCAGTAAAGACACCACCTTCACCTCCGCCAGAACACTGCTGTCCATCCTGCGGCTGTCCACTGCACTGGTGAGACTCACACACACACACACACACACACCCTACTGTCCGTCGTGCTGATCAGACACACACACACACACTCTCTCTCTCGTGGCTGTGTGTGTTAAAAGTGCTGTTTGTGCAGGTAGTGTGTTTCCTCTACTGTAGGAGCAGCACTTCACAACACACACACTGCTGCTAACACCGTCTGATCTGTTGTTGCCATGACAACTGTTGTCTTGTGCCTCCGCCTTGGTTTTGTCGCCGTGACGACTGTTGTGTGACGGTCAGCTTTGCGGGGTGGGCAGTCAGCCTCCGTGTGGCCGCTGTGCAAACCCATGCAAAACTGAGCGCTGCGCTACGCTACACTGATGCTACGCTAGCCGGCGCTGAGAGGCGGAGACTTGGGCAGCTGCCGTCATTCCCAGAAGGCATTGCACTTGTCTCGGTCTGACAGTGGCGGCACAACCCCTCCATTCACCAGAAGAAGAGTGCTGAAGGTGTGTGTGTGTGTGTGAGTGTGTGAGAGCCTACTGTAACGTCTGCCATTGTATAAAATAAATGAACACACACACACCCTTACAGTCCCCGATATGATACACATTACAGGTGCACCACACACAGCAGACATCTAGTCCTTATTTGTGTTCAGAATCAGCAGGAGATACAGGCCAGAGCTGTGCGTGCGTGCGTGCGTGCGTGCGTGCGTGCGTGCGTGTGTGTGTGCGTGCGTGCGTGCGTGCGTGCGTGCGTGCGTGCGTGCGTGCGTGCGTGCGTGCGTGTGTGTGTGTGTGTGTGTGTGTGTGTGTGTGTTCAGCAGCACGTGTTGTCTCTGTTAGAGTCGCTCCGTCACTCAGCTCAGTGGTCCAGCAGCTGATGGTCAGAGCTGCTCCGGGCCGGGTTCATCTGTATCTGCTCAGAGCATCATCAGTGCTGGATGAACACGAGCGCTCTGAGCTGGTCAACACTCAAACACACACATGATGAACACCGAGCGTCAGCAGTGCTGGATCTGTTCAGGAGATCTGCCCGTGTGTCACTGCAGCCCAGAGGACTGAACCCACAGAACCACAGCAGAGTCCACTGAGCTGAGCCAGAGCCGCTCTACTGAACACCAGCACTGACGGACACACACAGGGAGGGGGACGACCACGCTCCGGCACAGTCCAACACAAGCTGACCTGTGTGTGTGTGTGTGTGTGTGTGTGTGTGTGTGTGTTCAGGCTCGTCTGCGTATGGTGTCGGTGGTGGAGAAGGAGGATGTGAACGAGGCGATGCGTCTGATGGAGATGAGCAAAGACTCTCTGCAGGCGGACCGGAGCAGCAGCAGCAGGTGTGGATCAGCGGGTCACTGCACTGCGGTCACTGTGATGATGATGATGATGATGATGATGATGCTGATGCTGAGTGTGTGTGTGTGTGTCCCGCAGAGCTCAGCGGCCGGCTGACGTGATCTTCTCTCTGCTGCGGGAGCTGTGTGGAGAGTCCGCGGGCCGCAGCGTGCGCGTGTCTGCAGCGGAGCAGAGGTGTGTGTCGCGCGGGTTCACCCCGGCGCAGTTCCAGGCGGCGCTGCAGGAGTACGAGGAGCTGAACGTGTGGCAGATCAACCAGGCCCGTACACGCATCACATTCGTCTAACACGTATGCACACCCACACACACACACACACACACACTCGCACACTCTTGTGCTGTTGTTGGTTCTGTTCTGGAGTGTGTGCTGTAAATAGAGCTGGCACTGACACTGTTTTAATAATAAAGCTCCTCCTCCTGCTCCTCCTCCTGCTCCTCCTCCTGCTCTGCTGTTCTGACTCTGCTCCTGTGTGAGGGTCCGCTGTTGCCTGTATATTTGCGCTTGTTTGTTGTTGTTTATTTTCTGCAATAAAGATGATGACCGTCTCTGTCTGAGCCTCGGCTTTATCACTGTACTGAGATCAGCCTGTGCTCCACTGTTCACAGTAGTAGTAGAGGCTCGTTTCCTCTCTGTGTGTGTGTGTGTGTGTGTGTGTGTGTGTGTGTGTGTGTGTGTGTGTGTGTGTGTGTGTGTGTGTGTGTGTGTGTGTCAATCAGTCAGTACAGCACCTCAAAGTCTCTAATTCTGCTGCCATTGGCCAGATCGAGCCGCTCCTCCTCCAATCACAGCTGGACACGAGCCGAGCACACGCTGAAGAGTCTTCATTGAACACTGTAGTGTCGGTAATCGCATACTTGTGCACTATTCTACGCCATTTTGTAGTTCAAACTGTGTAAGCAGTGTGTTCACACTGAAAACTATAAAATCATTAAGTGCACTTTAATCACCCGGATGCTGCACTCATTCAGCCGGTATAATGAAGAGTGTAATGATGGACACTTCACGCACTCAAATACCGCAGGTTTGCTTACGTAGCGGAAGGGGCGGAGCTATCGGACGCACATGTTGAATAACTTTATTTATTTTGGATGGTGAGAGCAAAATTCTCCTACGAGAGTGATTATAGCGCCTCCCGATGGTGAATGCGGCAATACTCACGGCAGGTATTTGATCATTCGGTCGTTTATTTCACTGATTTGGCGACCGTCAAACCTCATCAAGGAAACGGTTTGAATTTCCGCTTAGTAAAAAACATTAGTGTGCCATTTGGGACAACACTACATACATATACTTTCCTGTTGAGTGTGTAAGTGCAAAAGTACATAGTGCATGAGTGCATAGTGTGTAGTGTGCCATTTGGGACGCAGCTAATGTTTTATTTCTGCATTAGTGATCGCCAACGAGTCTTTTTAACCGAATCTTCTAAGTGAACTGGTTCAACTAGTTCACCAAATCGAACTGAATCATTTAATAAGCGATTATCCACAAACTACTTATAAGCATGTGTGATCTCCCTCTGAGTAAAAACAAACCAACATACAGTGAGTTATTGAGTTATATCACTGAGATCAGCTTAAAGAAGCGGTGACCCGGTGTTACTGCGCATGCGTGATTCGGTGAAATCAAACCGCGCACATGGCGGCCTGCTGCGACTGATCTACACCGCAGCGCGGGTGACTCGAGGGCTCATGAGAGGGTCTGGAGAAGCGTAAGTTTATTTCATCGCAGAAAGTCGTTATGAAGATTAAATAAGAGAGTCATGCTTCAGTCAGAACTGGACTAAGACACTTGTCAGATCACGCTGATGTTGAACTGATGATTGCTCATTTCTCATCTGTTGAGTTCAAACATGGGAGGATTGGCAAAAGATCCGGTTCACGGTAAAGATCCGAACTTGCACCTAACAAATATCCTTATTTACAGAACAGCAACTAAAACTAACACAGAAACTAATAAAAAACTAAACAAAAATTTAGCGATTTCAAAAAAGAAAAGCTAATAAACACGAGTGAATCTGCCGAAAACTGATTAAACTGACTGAATCTGAAAACAAAAGGTCAAAATAAAATCTAAAGCTAATTAAAAATCCAAATCTACTATAACCTTCCGCGACGCGCTCCTGACGCTGACCTGGCGACGCGACGCGCTCTATTGTTCCGCCGCGCCCGGGTGCGCGTGCACGTGTTTACCCATCCCGGGACAAAGAAAGGTGCGAGTCCGCCCGGCTCCTGCTCTGCTCTGCTGTCTGGAATTTATCTGTGACCATGAAGATGATGAAGGTGGTGATGAAGATGATGAAGGTGGTGATGAAGATGATGATGGTGGTGGTGGTACTACTGCCGGTGCTGTGCGGTGCAGCGCGAAGCTGCGCGGAGTCCCGCCGGGTGTACGCGGAGAATCACGGCTCCATCCCCGCCCCGCAGACGCTCATCAGCGGTAAGACCCGCAGCCGAACACCCTACAGCTGGAGGATATCTGAGTACAGCACAGGGCAGAACCTTTACAGTCTATGGGTCCATTACTGACAGCTGATTATTAACTTTCATTCACTTCATATGACATTTACCTGCACGCAGAGTGTGTGTGTGTGTGTGTGTGTGTGTGAACATCAGTTTAATGAGCACTGAAGAAACCAAACTGCAGCGAATCTGGCCGAACACTGAGCATCCCACTATTACACAGCCGCATGTGTTCAGCAGAATTCTGGAGCAGATGTGTTAAGACCAAATAAAAGAATTAAAATGTTGAATTGTTTGTTCCTAAAGATGTTCAGTATCCAAAAACTTTAATAAATCAGCTTCCATCATCATATTTGACCTTTATATACTGAGAAAATGGATAAAAATCATTAGTGCTGAGCGCTGCGTATGAGCAGAATAAACACACACGCATACACACACACCCACAGACACACCTACAGACACACACACACACATACACACACACCCACAGAGACACACCTACAGACACACACACACACACACACACACAGAGATGTACACACACACACACACACACACACACAGAGGCACATGTGTAAAAAGCAGGAGAAAACAGAAAGAGCTGAGCTAAAACAGGATGATGGAGGTGAATGTCGTGACCCACGTGACCTGCTCCTCCTTCAGGTGTAGATGCTGGATATGTCACAGTATTGTGAGCAGTTTCCAACACATGCTGAACATCCTGATATTAGTCAAGTGAACGTGCGGGTCTGCGATCCTCTGTACACTTCAGACCAGCAGGGGGCGCTCGCTCTGTGCTGATCAAGTCTAACCAGCTCTACGTCTATGGTGCTCTACATAGAGCTGCTGGATGAGGAGGAATGATCACTCACTGTGAGCTTTACTCTGATGGTCCCTGTAAAGCACCTGTTCCAGCACTGTGTGTGTGTGTGTGTGTGTGTGTGTGTGTGTGTGTGTTTTCAGGAGAACACCTGCGCTTCTGTCCGCGTGACTACACCTGCTGCTCCAGCCACATGGAGGACACACTCGCGCAACACAGCCAACAACACTTCCTGTCTGCGGTTCGGGACTCCAGCCATTTCCTGTTCTCCAGCTTCAGCCACACACACCGCAGGTTTGACGGTGAGACGCGCACACACGGATCCGCTTTACAGACACACTCCGCTTCTGTTAACAGGCGGACTCCATCGTCTCTGAGTCCCTCAGCAGGTCTCTGCGTCTGCAGGAGCACTGTTAGCGTAGCTTAGCACAAATCATTGAATCAGATTAGACCGTTAGCATGTTGCTCTGAGGGCTGGGAGCAGTTCTCCTCTGTGAAGCGAGGCTCTGAGACCGATGGAGGATGAGGAGCTGCTGATCTCCGAGCTGATATGGCCTCATTCAGGCGTAATGATCCACCATCTTGGCTGCGGTGGCGCGACTGCAGCGGCGCGGTGATATCCTGCAGCGCCGACACCTGTTCTCCTGCTAAGGACTATTCAGGAGCTTCTGCTGGTCTTACTGCGGAGGAGTCCAGCTGAAGGAGGAGACTCATCACAAACCACTTTTAGTTTGAGGAAGATGCTAACGGGCTAATCTGATTGATTTCTGCTAAGCTAAGCTAATAGTGCTCCTGCAGACAGTGGTGATGCTGTCCTGTGTGCTCCTGTGCATCAGCAGACCCACTGCAGCTCTGCTCTCACCGCACCGCTCTCCTGCTCCTCCTCTTCTTCTCTTGGTCCTCCTCTCCTCCTCCTCTTCCTCTCTTGCTCCTCCTGCTCCTGCTTCTGCTCCTCCTCTTCCTCTCCTGCTCCTCCTCTTCCTGCTCTTGC